TATCATTTAATAGTTAATTAGAAGGAAAAAATGAAAGAAAAAATATGAAATAATAAGAAATAAATAATAAAAGCAAAAGTTGAAAATAAAATGATGAGCTAAATTAACAAAAGAATGAACAAAAAAAAGCAAGCACAATAAAAAGAAAAAGAAAAAAGAGCTTTATTGTTTTTAATTAGTTTTTATAATTAAAAATATCACAATCCAAAACAAATAAACTGTTTTTACGTAAGGTCAAGTGTCAAATTTGAGAGATTAATGCAATTTGCTAAAGCAGAACCTAACCCTGATGCACCTTCATCACCAATTTAATTTTCACTTTTTAAATATTGAAGAAAAAATATATCATTTAATAGTTAATTAGAAGGAAAAAATGAAGAAAAAATATGAAATAATAAGAAATAAATAATAAAAGCAAAAGTTGAAAATAAAATGATGAGCTAAATTAACAAAGAAAGAACAAAAAAAAAGCAAGCACAATAAAAAGAAAAAGAAAAAAGAGCTTTATTGTTTTTAATTAGTTTTTATAATTAAAAATATCACAATCCAAAACAAATAAACTGTTTTTACTCAAGGGCAAGTTCCAAATTTGAGAGATTAATGCAATTTGCTAAAGCAGAACCTAACCCTGATGCACCAATTGCACCAATTGTATTCCACTTTTTAAATATTGAAGAAAAAATATATCATTTAATAGTTAATTAGAAGGAAAAAATGAAGAAAAAATATGAAATAATAAGAAATAAATAATAAAAGCAAAAGTTGAAAATAAAATGATGAGCTAAATTAACAAAGAAAGAACAAAAAAAAGAAAGCACAATAAAAAGAAAAAGAAAAAAGTGCTTTATTGTTTTTAATTAGTTTTTATAATTAAAAATATCACAATCCAAAACAAATAAACTGTTTTTACTAGAGGTAAAGTGTCAAATTTGAGAGATTAATGCAATTTGCTAAAGCAGAACCTAACCCTGATGCACCTTCATCACCAATATAATTAAACCTTTTTAAATATTGAAGAAAAAATATATCATTTAATAGTTAATTAGAAGGAAAAAATGAAGAAAAAATATGAAATAATAAGAAATAAATAATAAAAGCAAAAGTTGAAAATAAAATGATGAGCTAAATTAACAAAGAAAGAACAAAAAAAAAGCAAGCACAATAAAAAGAAAAAGAAAAAAGAGCTTTATTGTTTTTAATTAGTTTTTATAATTAAAAATATCACAATCCAAAACAAATAAACTGTTTTTACCTAAGATCAAGTGTCAAATTTGAGAGATTAATGCAATTTGCTAAAGCAGAGACTAAGCCTGATACACCTTCATCACCAATTTAATCATTGCTTTTTAAATATTGAAGAGAAAATATATCATTAAATAGTTAATTAGAAGGAAAAAATGAAGAAAAAATATAACATTAAATAGAGTAAGTTACTAAAAAAATTTACAAAAAGTGAGTTTTTTATATGCCAGTTTTTCATTTTATAAAATAAAAATTTTAAATATTTTTTATGAATTTTTTTCCATCCTTGGTTTTCAAAATTTATTTTTTTCAAAAGAAATATATGTTATGCTTTCTAAAAATTAGCTTAATTTATAATTTTATAAAGATATAAATTAAATAGGTATTTCACTCTAGTTCATTAGGAGGAAAAAATGAAGAAAAAATATGAAATAATAAGATTAGTTAAAAATTAATAAAATTAACAAAGAATGAAAAAATAAGAAATCATAAAAAAAAGAAAAAGGAAAACAAATAAAATCAAATAAATTAAAAGAACTTTAATGTTTTAAATTAACTTTTATAATTAAAAATATTAAAATGTAAAACAAATAAATAACTTTTATTAAGTGTAAGTTTTAATAGCAAAAAATGAAGAAAATATATCAAATAATAAAAAATGAATAATAAATAAAAATGAAAATTAAGTTAAAATATTAAAAATTTTAGTTTTAATAAAAATCAATAAATAATGATGAATTCTATAATAAAAATGATTTATTTAAATAAATTGAAATTAAATAAAAAATATTAATAATAATAAAAGTAATTTTTTAATTAAATATACTTCAGATTAATATGGAGAACCTAATGAGATAAAAGTGAAGAGCTTTTAAACTTTTTTTATTAATTTATATAAATTTAAAGGATTTTAATAAAAAAATTAATAATTACTTCTTCTAAATTAATATAATATTTAATCTATTATATCATTTATTTTTTTTTTTCAAAAATATTGAATAGCAATTTATGAAATTTAATTAATTAATAATAAATGGTTAAAAAGAACAAATAGATATAATAATTAATTAATTATCAAATATTAATTTATATATTTGGTTTTATGGAGAGATATCTCAGAAAATTAATTTAACATTCACTATTTAAACTTAATATATTATTTGATTATTAAATAATTAATTAACATTTTCTGTTAAAATAATTTAGTATGTAATATTATATAATATAAATCTATTATAAATTAAAAATATAATTTCTTAAATTACATATTTATATTAAAACATTTTAAAACAAAACTAAAATAAAATTATTTAAATTAATTAATTAATCTGCTTTATAGCAAATCCAAGAATTAAATTCTTAAAGAATTTAATATCTGGAAATGCTATATTTTATTGTTTCTTTTTTTTCAATATGATCTAATTTATGAATTCTCATCAAATAATTCTAAGAAACACTTTTCCTTCCAAAATTTATGCTATATAGCTAAATTATATCTTTTAGCTTGTTTTTCAGCTCTAATGTGGATGCAGCTCTATAATTTATAAGGAGCTAGACCTGTCTTATGCAGTATATTATAAAAAGACAGTCTCAGTATTTTCAATATTGTAATCTTTACCATCACAGAATTATTTTCAACTGGATTATGGGTTTTTTTAAAAAAAATAAAATTCTTTTATTCTTCTTTAATCTCAAACAGTCTTCAATTATGATGAAGATTAGTCACTGCTGTTCCTCGTTTTTTGAAATCCTTATAGATCTGGTGGATTTATCTCTTAATATAGGTTTGACTTATTTCCTAAAGCTTTTCATAGACTTCATTGGCTGAGTATCCTCTCTTTTTTAAGGAAACTGCAAGATATCTTAGATTACCTTTCCTTTACTTACCCATAAGAAAACACAGTGTTCTATTTTACTTTATTTTAGCTATAGGCTTTCAGATAATATAAAACAATTTAAAAAGAAAGTAGATTCCTATACGAACAAGCTAAAATATAATTGACACTAAAAAGCAAATCTTTTGGGTAAAAAATAACTTATTCAAAATAATTTATGAAGAAATTATGAAAATTTATTTAAATTTTGTAAATTGATTTCAAGATAGATATTCAACAAAAATTTATTTGATATTTTAACATTAAAAAAATAGATTAATTGATTATATTAGAAATTTTAAAATCAATAAATTGTTTTATAATAGACATAAATGAATTTAATTTTATTGAATTTTAAAAAAATTGAATGTTGAACATACATTGGTTAGTTAGTTATAATCTAAGGAATTTTGTTTAAGTAATATAAATAAGAATACTATGATTTATTTGTTAATATATACTAAATTATTAAATTAAAATAGGAATATAAGTAAATGAATGATTAACATCATCATTATTATCAAAAAAATGTTAATATATATTATATCACTTTAATTAATTTTTTTTGTAAGACAAATCAATCTAAGATTGTGTTTAAAATTAAAAGAATTTTAGAAGCAAGTAAAAGCAAGATTTGTTTGTTAATATGTTCTAAGAGAGCTAAGTTTAAGATGTAGTTTTTAGATTAATTATCAATATTTTTATTTATTTATTTATTTATTTTTTTGTTTATTAATATCAAAAAATGTAGATATTTATTTATGTATTACTTTTTTTATTTATATATTAAGTCTTGAAGATAACTAGCTAGTTAGTTAGTATAAGAATAGATATTATTGCTTTTTATTATTTATTTATTTCTGAGACGTTGCTGATTTTATCAGCAATTAATTTAACTCTAGCTAGTTTATTTTGTTTGATAAGTTTGTTTATTTATTGGTGATTTTAATTAGAATAATTTATTTAGACACATTCTTTTCAGTCATTCTTAGCATCTCCTCTATATGTGATACCTATAAATTTATCTTGCATTGCTTCATCTATTTTTCTGACCTAAGGTGTATCTTATATTTAATTATTAGCCTAATTTTATATTTTTTAAGTTTGCTATCATGAAAGCTTATTTTAGTCAAGAAATAATTTACATCAACATGGTTACTTAAGCCAACATTTTACAAATCAATTTTTATAGGGGCTTAGTACTTCTTTTGGAGCATTTGTTCCCAGTTGATCTTCTTGAAGAAAGGATGCAATTTGAGTTGAGAGAAATTCAATCTTTTCTCTGGCTATTTAAAATAAAATATATAAACTCATTCATATTAAGTAGGTTGCGTTATTGGTAAAATTACATCAGACTGTAATAAGTTGGATATCAAGTCTTTTGCTTCAGGAGAAAAATGGCTTGGATAGGTAACTTTATTTTGAATAATTTAATTATATAAAATAGTTCTTTAAGGATGTCTGAAGGGTGGAGTTCCATTGAGCATTTCATAAATGAAGCAGCCCTATTGTTAGTATTTTAATTAAATAAATTAATTAAGTTTATCTTACTGATGTTTTCTAATTATCAAATTTTTTTGATCTTTCTTTTAGAAAGAAATTAATTAATTAGTAATATTATCAATGCAAACTATCAATCATTAATTTTTATTTGGCGTAATAAATGATTTTTATTTTTAGAAAATTGGTGCTATTTGAAATAATTATTGAAAGTGAATTAATTACGAGAGTCCAAAAATCAACTGGCTTGCTGTGTCCTTCCTCTTTTGTTAAAAATATGAATTAATATATGAACAAATAGCTTTGAGATTCTTACATTTAATGATCTCTGGTGCTAAGTATTCTGGAGTACCACAAAAACTGTAATTTTTAGTGAAAGCAGCTATTTATTTAATATGACTTGATGTAAGTATAAAGGTTGAAAAAAAGAAATAGATGAGAGAAGAAATCTCCCTAAGAAATATGTTTATAATTAATTAAATAATTACTGCTTTTAGCAAGACCGAAATCACTCAGTTTAACGTTTCCATCTTCATCCATGAGGATATTTTCTGGCTTTAAGTCTCTGTAAATGACATTTAGTTTTTCATGTAAATATTCTAGGGCTAAAATAACCTGAGCACTATAATATACACAAGTTTACTCTTGGAATCTTTGTCTCTTTTTTATGTGGTGGAAGAGCTCGCCTTTTATAAAAAATAATTTAATTATGATCTTCTTCATGCTTATTTTAAGTCATTATAATGATTATTTAATAAATGTAAATAGTGCCTTTTTTGCTTGAATATTTATTTATTAATATTTTAAACTATTCTACTAGAAAATCTATAGCATTTATTTACTTATTTTATATTTTAATATTTTGATTAAAACAAACTTTTCTATTTCAAAAATTTGCTTGATTTGTCTAAAAAATAACGTAATTATTTATTTATTTGTTTTTTTTATAGATTGTATTTATTTAATTTTTTTTACCTCCAGGCATGTATTCCATAATAAAGTAGATGTTGAATTCGTTTTAAAAGCAGAATTTCAATTTAACTACGAAAGGGTGGTCGCTGAACTAAAGGATTTTCTTCTCATCTATCATTTTATGTAAAAAAAGGGTTATAAATAAATACAAAAACTTTGTTTGAAATGCTTTTTTTGCGAACTTCTTTAGTTTATAGTACTTTATTATTGTTCTACTAAATCTATCAAACAAAATGCACAGAAAAATTCATGAAAAAAGTATTTAAAATCTATAAATAGAATAATTGAAAATAATTGTTTTTTTACTTAAAGCGTTTTCTATTTGGTTTCTATTAATGATATCTGCCTTTTTAAGTGTTTTCATAGCATAGTACTGCTTGGTATCCTTGTTTTAAACCAAGAGCACTTTTCCAAATGATCCTCTAGCTAGGCACTTTCAATTTATAAAAAAACCAATTTAAAAAATGAAGATTAAGTTGAAATAAGATCAATTGCTATTACTTTGATGGTGATGAAATCATTGAGTGTGACCTCGTAAGGATTCTTCTTAACTTTGTTTTCTTTTGGAAGTGGCTATATTGTTGATTGGTCATTTGTTTTAGTTTATGAGTTATCCAATTTGTCTTCTTCTTCCATCTTCTAAAAGCGCTGCTACATAAAACTAGTTTTTTCTTGCATATTGCTCTGGTTAGAGCTATTTCCGAAACAGTTGCACACGTTTCCCATTTGTTATCTCCTTGATCTAAAATTTTTATCTATTAAATAATTTGAAATTTTTTGTTTATAGATTTATTGAGCGAGTGAGCAAGAGTAATTGATTAATTGAAGGCTTTTGATTATTTATCTTTTTCTTTTTAACAACCTAACAAAATTTAACTTTTTTCAATAAGTTAATTATTTTTTAATACTTTTTTTAATTTTAGAAATAATATATATCTCTATCAAGCAAGGAACATAGATAGATAAGCAAGCAAGCAGGCAAACCGCAAACAAACAAACAAACAAGCAATCAATCAAATATTAAAAGTAAATAAATAAATATGTAAATAAGCGAAAAATGAATGAATATTAAATAAATTGATTGTTTTTTTTGCAAAAATTTTTGATTGAATTAAATAATAAAAATTTAGATTTGTAAAGACATTCATTCATTTTAATTGTGTTTGAATCAACATTACATCAAATACATTAAATTACATATTTTTGTTTCTTAAATTATTCCTTAAGCACAATTTGTACTTGAAAGAGACCTTCACTCTATTTTTTGTAAATTACACTATAATTTTCTTCAGCACATGTATATGAATATATACATATGTATATATAGATGATGATGCTATCAATTAATTTAGGTTAAAATAAAGCTTTTATTTCTTTCTCTATGCGGTTTAAATACTTTAAAATTTATTATTTTTTTTATAATTTAATCTCTTTTTATTTTTGCGTCAATTCGTTTTTTTTCTATTAAAATATTTTCAAAGATTTTCAAAAAACATCTTGAATAAATTTGTCTTTAAATTTTATTTCCTTCTGATGAAATTCTGACCCTTAAAAATGGCTTAAATTGTACATTGAATGATTCTAAAGGTTTAATTATTGCTTAATAAAATGTGAGAACTTCGCAAATATTTTTAATTTTTAAATTATTTGCCTTTATTATAAAAATAAAAATCTAGTCTATTTATTTATTTAAAAGTTTAATGCGTAGAAAAGTCAATTATTATTATGTCATAAACTGAAAAATTCATCTAAAAATTGTGACTTAAGAAATTGCGAATTTCAAATTGATGATAGATGAAATTAATAGTTTATTTTTTTAATTAATCGATGAATGCAATTACTTTATTTAATTTATTTTGCTTAGAAGTGATTATTTCTATTCATTTATTGTAAATTAATTAATTAACTTTTCTAATAATTCTAGCTAACCTTTGTAAGATTTAATTTCAAACATTCTCTCACACACTCATTTACATAAATTCTTAATAAGTATAACAAATATTATATTTTGGCACCCACTCAAACAGAGTTGAAATATATTCGGTAAAAACAGAATCTTTCTTCATTGAATACATAAAATACAAAATTAATAAATTAAATTCATTTTTCATAAAATTAATATTTGAATAAATTATTCTCTTACTCTTAATTTTTATATCATTTTTCAAATTCTTCTAAATAAAAATTTGAAGATTTTAAATCAAATTATTTGATAACTATTTTTTGGATTGATTACCAATTTAATCTAGATGAAATAATCATCTTTATACCTAAAATATCGCTATCTTTTATATAAAGTTGAATCTTTATCAATAAAAATAGCTTTGTTAGTTTTAACATATTTCTTGATTAAAATATACCTTTTTTAATAGTTTTTTTTACTTAATTTACTAAATTTTTAAGATAATAAATTATATTGAATTTTTATTACTTTTAATTAAAGGTTGTAATTCCATAGAAAATAAATTAATTAGCGCATAAAGTAAATTTAGTTGTTATTATTATTATAATACTTTTTTGAAATGTTAATTAATTAATTAATAGATTAATTAAAATTCAATTAATTGTTTCGATTTTTCATACATTTTCTAAGATGTCTTAAAAAATGTGACTATCAACAATAGAGTAGAATTTATCTTTTAATATTTTGGATTAGGCTTCTTAAATCAAGTTAGAGTATATTTAGCCATCAAAAAAAGGGTTTTGTTTTGTATTTTCTTGTTCTTTTTTTAAGAATTCCTTTAGATTTCTTAGTCCTTTCAAAACTTCTGAAGCTGACTATTATCCTATTGGCTAAACTTTACAAACCCAGAGGAGATCATCTAATTGATATTTATAGTTGCTCAGAACATATAAATATTGCTAAGCTTTTGTTTGAACACAATAATTATCAAAGCTTGCAAGATCTATTGGATACTCACATAAAAATTTCAGTCCATTTCTATAATGGTTTAAGTCACTCTAATTCTGTTTAAAAAGCATTTTTAATCTTTAAAATCTGTGGAATAAGTACTAGATGTATTAGTGCTAATATTTATAGTTTATAATGATTGGTTTTCTTAGGCAAAGGTAATCAATTTAATTGTCATTTAAACCTAAAAAATCCTTTAATAGTTATAATGAGTATCCCATTGTGTGTTTTATTTAATCATATTTCCTCCCTTAGAATATCACATAAGTATAATAATTGTCAGAATCTTTATTAGAATCTTTTAATTCTCTAATTACAGATTCGGCTTTCAAATTACTCTATTCAAAATTCCAGCCATGGAACTCATCGCATTCGAGGACACTCAAAGGATAAGTATTATTAGTGGTTTTTCTTGAGTATTCACTGCTGCTTTCTTCAGTTTCATGTTGTTCAATGCTTTTAATACAGTCATCTTCTTTCATTTTTTACTAAAGTATTTTTTAATACTCATCAATCAAATTTGCAAGGTCTAATAGGTCTTATTATTAGCTATTTCTTAGCAGATTCACTGGAATTGAAAAATCGCTGCATCTTTGAGTGTGGGTATTGAAGAATATCTCTATAAAATTTAAATTACTTTGCCTGTTAATTGAATTAACTTAAACAAAATCATTCTATGAAACAATAATGTTGAAATGTTCTCTATCTAAAAGTTAATCAATATCAATGTCTATATCACCAACAACATAGAAAACTTTGATCGAATCTATACTTTGGATAAGCTAAAGCTTGTATTGAACTTTTTTTAAAACATCTTTTTACATTTTTTTTATTTTTTTCTTGTTTTTTAGTCTTGTTTCAGACATTTTATATATCTAGCAATTAAACTAGTTTGATAATCTCTCAACAACAATTTTACTAAAATTTAAAAATATAATCAAAGATAATTTATAACAAAAACTATTATTAAAAAAATATAATAAAATTGTGAATTGGAATCGAATTAAATAAATATAGATATTATTGGATTTGTAAATTGCATATTTAATAACTTGTGATTTAAAAAGTAATTGTTTGTTAATTGAAATAGTATTGTTGATTGTCTATTCCTCCTTTTACATAGAATCTAATATATATTTCTTATTTTACAACTGACTAAATCTACTCTATCGAGTTTAAATCAGTCAGCACATTTTCATTTTGATGATTCATCTAAATAGGATATAACATCTAATCTATTCAGCTTAATATTTAATTTCAAAAAATGATACTTGGCTTTAATCTTATTGAAAAATACCTTTAATATTAAAAAAATCTTCATCTAAGCACTCTTTATTGTTTCAGTATATAAGCAGAGTTTATATTTTATTTAATGAGTATGAGAGAGATTCTTTGGGTCAAAGAAGCTAATCTAAACATTCCCCTAAATGAATTTTTAAAGGGAATTTATCTTCTTGTTGAGTGTCAAATTTAATGTATTTTATTCATATATTGTTTCAGTACTTTCCTCACTGCTAAATAAATTATTTAAAATTATGTATTTATTTTTAACTTTAATTCACACCTTGGCTCATAAAATTTTCAAAATAAATAAATACTGAGATGGGTAACTAGGAATTACATGATTAATTTAAGAATTTAATGGAGTATTTAATGAAAGATGTATTCCAAAATATTAGAATCGTTAATTTATATAATACAAACAAACTAAATTTATTTAAGAAAATGAGAGAGAGTATCATCTAATTTTTCATACAGAATAATTAAAGATTTTAAACATTCAAATAATAATTATTGCCTTTAATACTTAGAACTATTTTAACAATAATTATTAAAAGTTCTTTTTATCTATCTCAGTCATTTTTTAATCATCACTTTATAATAAAATAAATTTAATAGATTGTTTAATTATTCATTTTTTAAATTTACTTTTGATCGAAATAAATAGAAGCTAAAGTTTTGCAATTTTTAAAATGTTCAAAAATATAATCAATCCCTATTTTATTAAAATTGTTTCCCCTATTTATTATAAAAAGATATTATATAACACTAAGTAAAAATGTTTATATTAATTAAGATAAAGAAATAGTTTTTTATTAAAAATTTTCACAATCCTTATCAATAAAAAATAATTGAATCATTTTAATATTGTAATTTTTAATTTCAAAAAGTCAGTAAAAATGATTTTATGTTTAATTTAGTATGCGAAATTAATTAAATATTTTACTCTAAGAGTAAATCAGGTTCTTGAATATTCTAACGCAAAAAAATAGCTCCAGTATTGCAAACTCCTTTTTCGTCAGCCATATTCCTACAGAATTAATTTTATAGTGGAAAATTGAAATCAGAAAAAAGAAATTAGATAGAATTAAAAAAATAAATATTTACCTTTCATCTAAAATTAAATTAACCATACCAGTAAAATCTTAAGTTATTTCTTTTACTTAATCGACTTTTAACTTATTTTTACTTAAGATAAAATAAAATTATTTAAATATTTATAATTAATATTTTCAAGTTTTTTCTATTTAAACAAAAAAATACTCTTTTTTTTGGTTGCTATAACAAGATTAATTATGAAGAATTATAATAATGAAATCTAAATTTTTTATAAAGTTAAATTTAAAAATTGATATTCAAAAACCTGAAAAAAAGTTCTAATTTGGTGAGATTTAAACAATTTTTTTATATAAGGGCTATGCTTTTTGCACCTTCTATCCCTATTTTGTTTGATCTTTAGAAATAATAAAAAATATTTTATTAAAATGGTAGTTTTTTTATTAAAAATTATAATTTTTATTTTAAAAAAAATAAGATATTTAAATTAATAAATTTATAGAATTAAATGAAAATAAACTTATAACTTACTCTAGATTCAAGCTTAAACTCTTCAAATTTTTTAATTTTTATATGTTATTCCCAATCAAATTTGCTACAGAACTACCAATATTATTTTCACTATATATAATTATAAACAGATATTGAATAATTCAATATTAAATAGTTTAATTGATTTACCTAAAATTAATGTCAAGGTGATTCAAATTGATACACTAAGATAAACTAAATAAAAAATCTTCAAGACACTAGTAACCTTATTTTTAATTTCTTTTGATAAAAATAATTTAATTAACTCTCAACTAAATAATATAAATTTCTAAAATAATAAAAAGTAAGATGCTCCAGATAAATCAATTTTAAAATCGCTTTCTAAAAGTAAATTAATGAGAAAAAATATTTATTAATTCTCTTGAATTTTAAGATTTTATAATTTTAACTAAACAGAAGTTAATTTAAAGTCTGAGATTACTTTATAGAAATAGTTTACTATAGATTGAGTTCTAGATTATTAATGTTTTGACATTATTTTAAGCATATTCCGATTTATTTTATGCCGTTATCATCAACCTTATTTTATCTTTTAAATTAAGAAAATATTCCCATATATCTTTCATAATTTTAAATAAATAAATAAATACCTCAGGTTAAGACTCAAAGTTTTTATATTCTAGCATTTTTTTACAGTCTCCAATATTGCATTAATTTACTCAATTTGTAAATTATTACAACTAATTAATTATTTTTATTGATATTTAAATTTTATTTATAATATTGTTTTTTATTATTTGTCTTCAAAGAAGTTATCTATTGATTTTAGATATTTTAAGTAATAAAAAAATATTTGTTTCATATATCTATCTACTCATAACATTTTATAATTTAATCCTCTATTTTATTTGAGTAAATTTATTTTACTTATTAAAAGTGTAAAATGAGTGCAAAAATTCATCTTTTTTTAGCAAACAATTCAAAGCATTTTTATTAATAGATTTTATTCATTGTTAATTTTAAAGAGAAAATAAATTAAAATTAGATTTATAATTACCTAAGATCAAGCGAAAGCGAAGAGAGAGATATCATTTTTTGAATTCCAACACATAAAGATTATATTATCTTTAGCACATAATTTTGATTTTAAGTGTTAATATACTTAAGTATAAATACAGACCTTTTTAAAGAAAAATTTAGTAAATATTTTAAAGGAATATGAATTCTTATTACGAGAGAGATAAAGAGAAAGAGACTAAATTTGTACATTTATCTATACCCATCATATATTTATGTTCAGCATGAAGAGAAAATGTATTATAACTTTGATAAATAATTTAAAAATGAATTTTAACCTTTTGAAATATAAATCATATTAAAATTTTACTCATAATTTAGGCTTAAAGTATTTAATTTTTCGCACTTATAGATTAATGATAAATCATTAAGATTTAGTTTTATTTCATTTTACTAATAAGTTTTGCTTAAAATTTAATTAATATGATTATTTTTATTTTTTATTTCAAATATTTACCTGATATCCAAGTTTAATTTTTCAATATTTGTTAATTTTTCTAAATCTTTATAAATATTTTTCAAATTTTCCAATTTGATTTCAGTATTTCTATATTGAAATATAATTTTAAAAAAGATCCTGCTTTAATATTTATTTACCTTAAAATGAGCTCTAAATCAACTAAATTTTAACATTTAGATAAAGCATAAGCTAATTAGCAAACCCCTTAATTTATTTGATTATAGCTTAAGTTATAAAATTAAAATAGTTTGATTTTTAAATGATAAATTTAATTATTACCTTAAGTTAAGACTTAAAGAAACTATGTTTTAAGATTATTATAAATAATATTATAAACATTACACACCTTAGTTTCCAATATTATTGTCACTGATGTTAAAGTAAAATTATGTAAGAGATTCATAATGTAAATAAAAAACCTTTCATAAATTTAAAATTTATAATAAATACCTTAAATTAATCTCCAACGATTTTAAATTAACGCATTCTTATAAGGCCTTAGTTATTTCAGAAATACCTTTATCTCCAATTTTATGTACATCTTATCTTATTTTTTAAATTTATGTAAATATTATAAATGACTTAGATAATATTTACATTTTTAAAGGGTATCCTATGTTTTTAATGTGAGCGTTTGTTGCACTTTAAATTTTTTAATTAAATAAATATTGTAATTAAAGTACTAAATAAGTGCTTTTAGAAGATAATTAATTTACTCAAAATTTAGATGCAATTAAGTCATTTTTTAGCATCTTTATAAAATTTTTCCAAGGGTTTGTACAACTTCATAATCAATTCTATTTTATCTATTTTTTATAATTTAAAAAATTAAGATTTAAATTTAAACAAAAATACAAAAAACTTCAATAAATCGAACATTTTTTGAATTTGCTGGTTGCAAGTTAACGAGGTTTTACGGTAAGTAAAATCTTCAAATATTAATGAAAATTAAAATATATAATATATTAAATCAACCTCAGCTTATCTTATTCATCATTTAGTTGGAGTTAGGGTTGAGTTAAAAATAATCACTTAATAATCTTATGAAAATAAATCTTTAAATATCTCGTTTTATTTCCTTTGATTGAAAAAATGAATTGGGGGGTGGCAGATATAGTGGTTCAGAAAACATAACCATTATATTTACCATTACCATCATATGGTAGAAAAGACAGTTTTGACAACCACTTTTTCTGCCACTCCCCAATGAATTTTAAAAAAATTATTTGGAATTATTTTTTTAAAATGCATATTAAACAAACTTAAGATATAACTATAAGAAAATGATAAATATATATATATATATACCTGAAATCGAAATGAACTACTTCATAATTTACCGATTTGTTTATATCTGCTTTATTGTCAATTTTTATTTACTTCTCAATATTTATTTCATCTATTTAATCTTCAATTGCAGATGGTATTTAATTTAGTTAGTAAACTTCTTATTGTGAATAATCTTCTTACATATTATTTTCATTCTATTATTGTTATTACAAATTACTACTTTATTGAAGCAATTCATTATTACTATTTATATCTTATTGCGAAATTTAATTATCTCCTTATTCAATATTTTGAATTTGATTAGCTTATTATGCTTCTAAATTTAAGCTTTAATTAGTTTCCTATAATTATTTACTTGCTATATTTTAAATTTCAAGTGGAGATATTGGCTAATCTTCAATTAAGTTAATTTGTAATGATTATTCGTCATTTTCTTGATTTTTTTGATGAATTTTACTTTCTGGAAGAGAATGAAATAAAAATGAATTTGTCATTTTTTATTACTGAAATTAACTAATATCCTCTTAAGCTAAATTATCATTATCTTTTTCTTTTTGATTTGTTTTTAAAAGACTTTCATTATTTGAATTGGTTTAAACTATGTTTTAAACTTGTTAATTCTAGTTTTAGATTAATTAATTTTTACTTTCAATCTAATCAGGTTCTTAATCTATTGAAATTAATTCTAAATCTTAACTATCATCATTAATCTCAATACATTCAATTTGTTTTTATTCATTTTAATCACTAAAATTCTTTGATAAATCTTAATCTTATATTTAGTTTTAAATATTCGATTTTAGTTTATAATCCTAGACTTAAGATATCAGGTTTTCAGCTTATTAATTTTCTATATTTTATTTTTCTAATTATATTGCTTATTTGGCTGTTTGATTTTAATCTATTTCTGCTTAGTTAGATTATTAATTAGGTTTTATCATATTGCTGTAATCTTACAATAAATTTTGTTCTTCAATTTCAATTTATTCTTCAAACCTCTTACCTTCCTGTAATAATTTTTATTATTTAATTTGAACTTCATTTTCTGTTGGTTCTATTTGCTATAAATCTTATCTAATTTCTTCTTAGCTTTAAGCAATATCCTACAAATTTGGGAATTTTAGTTATTTTTAGTCTACTTCAAATTTATTTAATTCTTATAATAAGGCCATAGGTTAACTTATTTTGTTTGAATCTGGATCTACCATCCTACATAAAATATTTGTAATAAATTCTTGGCCTTCATGACTTAAAAGTTCAGGAAGGACACTTAGCAAATTTTGACTTTTAAGCTATAAATACTCCATACCTTAAAGCTTCCTTTAAAGCAATGCTTCTAGAATAATTACTCCTATAGAATAAATATCATCCTAGCAATAAAAAATTTAAATAATTAGTTTCTCAAAAAATTATTTACTGAAGTTGAATATGGTTTTATTTTATCAATAACTTAAGGAGATAGATAATTCAAATTTCTTTTTTAATACTAAAATAGAATTAAATATTGTATTATTTATTTAATTAATTAATTAAATACTTCTCTTTCAGAGCTTTCTACAAATTTAAAAAATCTATGATAAGCTAATTTATTAAAAAAAAATACTTTTATATTTTATTGTTGATTAATAATAATTACATAGTAAAAATTCATTTTTAGAAGAGCTAAATAGAATATTTTATGGCTAAATATCTTTTATCACAATTCCTTGCACTTCCAACAAAAGCACTCCTCTTAATAGCTAATATGTTAAAGCGTATATCTATTTCATTGTAAGTTTATTGTTCTCGAGGATAAAAGCTAGATTTTCTATATTTAGTATTTCAAATACATACATGATTTTAATAATAATAAACTAATGAATATACTTTCATAGACCTAAGTGACAATAGCGACAAATCCATACTCCAAATCTTAAATGGATTCTTTAAATTAAAGAAAATATTTCTCATCATTGAATTTTTCTAAAATTTATATGCATTTCTCAAGCTTTTTATCATTTAATTCCTACATTTAATCATTATTAAGTATTTCAATTGCTACTATATTATGATCAATCAAGGATTAAGCTTGAACTACAAATGATAAGCGATTATTCATTATAACTTTTTAGAATTCATAGTTATGCGTTTTTAAAAAGTTATCTATTGCTTCCTTATGTATCATTTAGATCTTATTATAGCAATTTTACAAATCTGTAACTTTTATTTACTCCATTATTTCTATCTTTCTTTTACTTTTAATTTACTTAAATTGATTTATATTGATTTTTATTAATACTATCAATCCTCATTAATTAACATCAGAACATATTAACACCCAAGAAAAAAATTTTTTTAGAAGAAGTAACTTTTTTAAAAGAAATTACATTTTTTAGGTGACTTAAAAACTAGAAAAATAGGTAGATATTAAGTCACCTATTAATCTTAATCACTAAATAATTTAATTAATTATTTATTTTACAATAAAAATAATTTTTTAATTTTAGATATCCGAACAATATTTTACGGATTAATATATTATTAATTATTTTCCAATAACCTTTACTATTAAATTTAAACTACCTGGCAGTTAACATTTAACAATGCCTAATTTATTGATATAGTTTGATTTATATGGATTGAAGTAGTACTTGTTATTTTCACTAATTTTCATTCAAGGCTAATTGTTTCTGTCATTGATAAATTGAATCGGGGCATGCTGATTCTACTACAAATAAAAAACAAGCTTAATCTTAAATAAAGTAGAAACACAATTTAAAAATATCTTAAGACCAACAACATTGCTAATTATTGAACATATTAAAAATCTATTCCTTTATCAAACACGCAAAACAAAGCTAGAACTGATTTTGGAAAAATGCATGTTGAAGATGATATTAGCTTAGCACTCTTTGATCTTTGAAGATGAGAGTAAGTTTTAGAAAAAAAAATTAAAAATGTAAAAATATTATAACTCAAAAAATTATTATAAAAAATAAATAAACAAATGAGGTAATTTAAAATTATAAATTTTACTTTAAAAAAATAAAAATAGGCTTAAATGACTAAATTTTATAATTTTTTATTTACTAGATTAATCTAGTTTATAGCTTGCTTATCCATAAATAAGTTCATAAAATATTTTAGTTAATTGTAAAAATTATATTCAAATTTTTAATCAGTAAATTAAAATCAGTTTAAAAAACATATGAATACATAATTTGTATAATAGATTAATCAATTATAAATTCATTAATATTTTTTCAGAAATCAAATTAAATTTCTCTTAATGCTTGGCAATTTTATTTTATTTCTTACTCAAACTTTTATTGATCAACTTCGTTTATATCATTTCCCCTAAATTAAATTTAAATAAATATCAATATTTATTATTCAAAATAAAATATTTATTATTACAAGCAAGTAAATTTCAAAGTTAACAAATCTTAGCACTAAATTATTTGATTTAAAATCAAATTTAATCCTTTACTATTAAAATTACTATAGCTATAAAAAATAATAGTGAATAAAAGTAGTAGATTTTAAATAAATAATCAAACAATATTTTTAATAAAATTAACTAAAAATTTAAATTGATTTTAATCAATCAGCTCATCTATCCATCCATCATTTTAGTTTTAATTTTTAAATAAATGAGTTGTATTTTCTTGAATTTATATTACCTTAAATTAAGAGATAATTGTTTAATATTTTAATGATCCTCAATAATCTTAGAGATAAAACTTGCACCTTCATTTTTTAACTCAATACCGCTAGTTTATATTGCAGCAAGAATATTAAATTAATTAAATAATTAAAACAAATTTACAATAGATCTAAATTCAAAAAATTTATTTTCTTATTTCTCTACAAACGTAATCGTAAGAATTCAATAGATTAAACTGATATTTTTGTATTACTTTTATATTTATTAAAGTAATTAAAAAAAATATATTTTACTAAATTTACACTAATTTTCATTACAAATAAAATAATCTGCAATTTATTCAATTTGTAAAAATTACTAAAAACTTTTGAATAAAAAAATTCCTAAAAATGATAAAAAGAAAACAAAATTAATATTAATATTTTCAATGAATGAAAAATATATATTTTACATTAAATCAAGTTTAAGAGACTTTAATTGTTTGCATTCTGATATGCTTTATCCAAATTATTCCAAATCTTTTTAACTTATTGGGTAATAGCTTTAAATTTAAAATAATTTTTAATTAGATTTTTATACTTTAAAAGATTGATTGATTGAATGAATGCTTACCATATTTTTAAATTTAAAAAACTCAATTTTTCACATTTTTAAAAGCCCCAATCAATTATAATATTATCTTAAATAGAAAAAGATTTCCTAATTTTTAAAATTTATTAATTGCATTCTCCAAGAATTTCTTAATTAAGATCTGAAAAAGTAAATTAAAAATACTATTTTTTACTATATTTATAAACTTAGATTAGTTAAATTTTTAATTCTATAAAAGCACATTTTATCTTCTGGAATGTATTGAGTGAGAGAGTTTTCACTAATTAAATACATTTTTTTCAATATTTTTTATTAATTTTGAATTTACCGCAAAATCAAATGCAAGCAATTTAAATTTTCATTCATTTCAAAGCTACTTAGCATAAGGTTAATTTATTTTTTACTCATTTTGCAATTCCTTTTTTAAGATATTAAGATTATTCATTAAAAAGTAAATTCTAAATGAGATTTTATGAAATTTATTTTTACTATAAGTCTAGCTTCAAATTAGTTAAAGATTTATATTTATAGAACTCTATTTCCTACTGAAGATTTAAATTCTTTAAATCATTTGTGCTAAATTAAAATAAATAAAAATTTTATCCTTTTTATTAATTTCGAATATATTTATTTTACTCTAAATTTAAATCTAAAAACTTTAAGTTTTCCAAATATTGAATGCTATATAGAATTAATTTAAAATTTTAAGAGTTGATATCACAATTACTATTTATAATTAAAAAAAATATTAAATTTTAACTAATTCCTACTTTAAAAAAATTTAGTTATCTATTTATTTATTTAACCCATTACCTTAAATTGAGATTTAAAGAAATTAAATTTTTGCATTCTTACAATTACTCTAAAAACAAATCAAATCCTTATATACCTTTACTGTAACTTTAATGAATGTTTAATTAATTTTTTTTGGTATTAATTAAAATATTGTTTGCTTACCTCATATCAAAACTTAAAAAATTCAAATTTTTATTTCTAGCAAAAGCTTTACCAAAATCGCTTAATTCTTTTTCTTTAAACTAGTAATAACTGTTATAAAAAATAGATTAGCTTTAAAATAATTTAAAAAAGTAATAAATTAAATAATACCTTAAATTTAAATCTAAATGAACTAAGTTTATACTTTAAGATAATCCTTAAACAATATTAGAACCCACATTTTGAGCTTAAGGATTAAAATTGAATAAAGATGAAAAGTTTAAATTTAAATTTAAGAAGTGAAGATTTCTACATTAGCCAATCCATTCACCTAATTATTATTCTCCTTCTATATCGATGCTAATTAATAATTATAAAAATTTAATTTTAAAAAAATATATTTATAAGAAATCCTTAATTTAATTTCTAAGAAAGGTAATAAAATTATTTGCTAAAAATTCGTAAGAGTTTAACTTCAACTTTAAAAATTTAAAGATTCTGAAAGGCATATTTTAGTTTTTTTATCCTTTTAAAGTGATATATTTCTGAAAAAAAATAGATTAATTCAAATAGTTTACAATACATTAAGGCTTAAAAATGACAAATTATCACAGTTATCAAGACATTAAATAAGCTATTATAAATATTTCTCCTTGTTTCTTTAGATATTAAAAAATAATAATAATTAAAAAACAAAGAAGCCTACTTGAATTAATAAATACAATAAATAAAATAAACTTAAAATATTTCTGAAGCTAAAATGGCAAGTTAAATTTCAGATATAATAAAATTTTATTTATTTAAAAATATTTTTATGACATTTGAAAACTTTTATGTTAGATAATAATTAATACCTAAAACTGTCACTAATATTTAAGCTTATGGATTCTATGTTTATGCATTTTTATAATATTTTTCCTATTTTTAATATTTAATCTTCTGAAGGTAGCTAATTTCTAATAAGTATTTTAGAAATAATTTAAATGTATTTATTTATTATTTCTTTCTTATAGTTTATTTACATCAATTCAATTTCGATTATTTCGTAATCTTCATCAACTTAAGGAATTTGCTTGAGGTCAACAATTTTTAATACTCTTTATCTATTTTTTTTATAACTTTTACGATTAAAATATTTACATTTTATATATTTTATTAGTTTATTCAAATTATTTTAAACTTCTTTATCCAATATAACTTCATTCTTCTTTGTAATGTTATTATTATTTTAATTGTTTTTCTCTTTTAATTTTTCAACAATAATTTCCTCTTCAAATTTATCTTGACATTTGTTATTTTTAATATGAGTGAAATTCAAATCTCTATTTTTTATTTACTATTCTAAATGAAGATTGGTTTAATTTTCTAAATTAATTTCTTATTGATCATCCATTTCAATTTCCATTAAAGATTAATTAGGTTCTTCAAAATCACTTTAGGAATGATCAATACTTTGAGTTAGAATTATCTATTCATTATTAAAATTACGTCCAATGTCTTACTAAATTTAGTTTTCAATCTAAATGTTTTCTGTTGCACTAATATTTGGAGAACTCTAAATAATATTTTTTAAAGGTTTTATATTCTGATATTCACCATTTTACATATTTGTTATTTAATTTGGAGTTTCAATATATTTTACGTTCATATTTTATTATCCAATTTAAGTTTCTTAAAAATTTTCTTCATCTTCAATTTCAATATATTTTTAAACTTCTTCTATTTATTCTTTATTTTATTCATTTTACTTTTGTTCATTTGATATATTTTCAGTGTTTTCTTCATGAACATTCTACCTCAAATTTTCTATTTAATTAATATTTTGATCATTCTAAATAATTTCTATATTTGGCTATATTAAATGGTTCTCACCATTTTTCATATTTGTATTTTAATTTTAAATGTCATTAAATTCTTCTTAGACACTGTACTATCCAATTTAAATTTCAATAATATCTTCCTCTTCGTTGATTTAAACTTAAACTATTTTTTCTTTTTCAATAGTTGCCTTTTTAATTTATTCTATTTATAATTTCTATACAGAAATACTTTAGGGGTTTTCCTCATTGCCAAGTTAGTTAGCAGTTTAAAGCTAAACATCTTTATTTTCTATATTTTTCTCTAATTTAATAGGCTTGAGGTATTTTTAATCTGCCTTTAATTCATTTAGAATCTATAATAGATAAATTGGCTCACTTCTTTTACAATAATCTGGATCTACCATTTTACTTAAAATTTTAGTTACAAATTAATGATTTTATTCATTTAAAAGATCAGGTAAAACACTTATCAAACTTTAACTTTTTAGCTTTAAATACTCCATACCTTTTAGTTTTCTTTGAAGTAAAGCTTCAAGAAGAATCACACCTATTGAAAAGATATCAGCCTAAAAATAATAGTTTTAGTATATTTTAATAATAATTATAAAGTATTTACAGTAATTTTGTATGGTTTTTTCTTATTGATGACTTCAGGAGATTAATAGTTCAAATTTCCTTATTATTTCTTTAATTAAATTAAAATTAATCATATTTTTGTTGAAATTACTTCATTGCCTTCAAATTGGATGAGTCTACTAAAACTTAAGTAAGCTAATTTTTTCAAAAAAATATTATTTTTTATAATCTGAGTATATTTATTTATATATTTTTACATAACAAAAATTGGTTATTTTATGCACTGTATAATATTTTTTCAGGTTCAATATATCTCAATACTTTTTGCTTCTCTTAGATTAAAAGCAATCCTTTTAAAAGTTAATACGCCAAAGCATAAACTTACTCTATTGCTAGCTTATTTATCTCTAGAATTTAAGCTAAATTTTCTATTATTTAAATATTAAGCAATTAATCATTTAAATTGAAATAAATACATACTTTCGCAATATTCTGTGACAATAGCAGTAATACCTTAATTTAAATCTTATATTCTTTCAATAAATTAAAGTACATATTTCTCTCCTTTTAGATTATCTAAAAAATCTACTTATTTGCTCAGTTTTTAACTATTGATTTTTGAATTATATTTATAATTTAGTATTTTAATTGCAACATTAGAATTATTATGATTGAGCGATTTAGCTTAAACAACTAAAGAAGAACTACTTCTTGAAATTTACTTTTCATAAACATAACCATATCTTTTTAAAAAATCATGGATTGATTGATTCTATAGTATTTAAAATTATTGTTTGCAGTTAAGCAACTCTTATCTCTAATCTTAATACATATTTATTAGTACTTATTTATTTCTACTTTCTTTCTTTATTTTAAAACTTCCTATACAAACTAAAGTATTTAATTAGTTGTAACTAATAAATGATGATAGAAAATTATTTGCCGCAAAATAAATACAATATAGATATTCTTTTAGGATTTAAAAGATACTAAATAAAAATAAATATATTTTAAACATCTGAAAATATTAATTTTTAAAATTATCATTAATATTTAAACATATTTAATATTTTAAATCTTAAATTAAGTTAGTATAAGTATTTTCAAAATAGCAAATATTATAATTAAAATAAAATATAAAGGATAGAGAAATAAACTTAAGGCAAATTTCGAAAATTTAATTTAAAAATAAATGGAAATCTTATTGTTTAGAAAAATTAATAGTATTTTATTTATTGTTCAACAATTATGTCAATAAAACTTTTGGTTAATATATTTTTATTTATTAGGATCATGCTAAAAATAAATTAACTAGGTTTTTATCGAATTTAATTTAATTGGCAAAATTTCTTATTTAACTTAATTTATCTAAAAATAATAATGAATTTAGCCGAATTTTATAACTAATACTTCATTTTATTAATTTGCACAATATTAAATATTAAATTCAAAAATGACCAAAAATAAATAGATAAGTTCTATGAAAAAGTTAGAAATAAATTTTTATTTTAGTGTTTATTGATATATTTATTATAAAAATTTGCTTGGGAGAGGATTGAATTAATTAGTAAGACTTTTTAATGGTTTATATAAATTTTTTTATAATTAAATAAATAAACAAACAAAAAAGCAAATAAATTAAGTTTAGGAAAATTAAAGTATCATCTTATTAATTATTTGCATAAAGAATAAAAAAATATTTCAAACATTCAAATAATATATAATTGTTTTAATTTTTAGCATTTTTATAACAATAATTATTTAAAGCTCTGCTTGTCTATCTTAGTAATTTGATTATCAATTGATAATTTATTTAGTTTGAAATATGTAATTTGTTAGCTATTATAACTTTATAATAAAATAAATTAAATAGATTATTTAATTTTCACTTTTTTTTAATTTACTTTAGACTTAAATAAAGATAGGTAAGAGATTTGCAATTTTGAAAGTGGCTTAAAATATCATTAATCCCTTATTTATCAAAACTGTTTCCCCTATTTATTATTCACAATAAAAGATATTAAATAAAGCTAAGCAATAGCATTGTGTTATGATAAAGATTAATTTCAAACTAAAATTATTTTATTTATTAATTTCTAATTAAAATTTTACTCTAAGTGTAAATCAGCTTATTTTATATTCAAGCATTATGAAAAAATAACTCCAATACTGTTCGCTACTTAATTCTAAAGCTTATTCCTACTATAGTTGAAAATTTAAATTAGAAAAATGATAAAAGATAAATAATTTACCTTAAATCTAGAATTAAATCAATAATATTTGTACAATTTTTTAAGCAAAAAGATAATAATTGCACTGAACTTGTTGTTAGATTATTTTTACTTTAGATAAAATAAAATTATTTAAATATTTATGATAAATTTTTTAAGTTTTTTTGCTAATAAAAGTTTATTAAGACTAAAATACTCTTTGATTGGTATAATATAATTTTGATGAATTAAAATAGAGAAATCATAAATTTAATAAAATTAAATTAAATAATTTATATTCAAATACCTTAAATAAAGTTCTAATTTTGTGAGATTTATACAAGTTTATAATTTAAGGGCTATGCTTTTTGCACCCTCAGACCCTATTTTGCTTGAGCTTTAGAAGTAATATAAAATAGTTTTATGAAATTATAGTTTTTGTGTTAAAAAATTATAATTTTTATATTTAAAGAAAATAATATTTATAAAAATTATTGAATTAAATGAATGATTATAATTTACTTTAGATTCAAGCTTAAATGCTTCAAATTTTATATTTTTTATATGCTCTGCGCAATCAAAATTGCCCCCATACTGCCAATATTATTTTAGCTATTAATATTTATAAAAAAATAAAAAATATATCAATTAATTTTAAATTATTGAATTGATTTACCTAAAGTTTATTCTAAGTTTTTACAAATTGGTGCACTTAGATAAGCTCAATGAAAAATCTTCAAGACCCTATTAGCCTAATTTATTCTCTCTTTTAGTAAAAAAAATAAATTAACTCTCAATTAGATAATATAAATCTTCAAAATAACAAATAATGAAATGCTCGTTTCATATAGATCAGTTTTAAAATCTCTTTCTAAAAATAAATTTAATCAAAATTTATCTAGAAATTTAAGAGAAGAAATATTACTTCTCTTGAATTTATTTTTAGTTTGATTTATTTAAACTAAAGAAAAGTTAATTAAAATTAGTTTTAAAGTCGGAGATTAATTATTTGAAATAGTTTACTATAGATTGAGTTCTAGATTATCTATTCTTTGGCACTATTCTAAGCTAATTCCAATATATTTTAAGCTTTCAACATCAACCCAATTTTATCTTTTTGATTAAGAAAATTTTTAACAAGATATTCCCTCATATTTTGAAAATTTTAAATAAATACCTCAAAATAAGACTCAAAGATGTTATATTCTAGCATTTTTTTAAAGTCTCGGATATTGTATTAATTTAATCTATTTGTAAAGCGTTACAACTAATTATTTTTATTGATATTTAAAGTTTTATTTATTATCATTTTAGAAGAAGTTATCTATCTATGAATTCAGATATTTTAAATAATAAAAAAATATGTCCCATATCTCTTTCTACTAATATTTTATCATTCAATCCTCAATTATATTTGAGTAATTTTATTTATTTTAATTATTAAAAGAGTAATAAAATGAAAATAAAAAATTCATCTTTTTTTAGCTAACTATTCAAAGCAGTTTTATTAATAGATTTTATTTATTCTTAATTTTAAAGAAAAAAGAAAATTAAAATTATATTTATAATTACCTAAGATCAAGCGAAAGCGAAGAGAGAGATACCATTTTTTGAATTCCAAGACATAAAGATTATATTAATGTTGACACATAATTTTGTACTTGAATATTTAAATACTATCCTTCAAATATAGACCTTATCAAAGAAACAAGTTAGTTAAATGTTTAATTAAAAAATCTTATTACTAAAAAGATAAAGAGAAAGAGACTAAATTTGTACAATTTTCTACACCCTTCATAAATTTCTACTGATCATTTTAGATGATTAAATTTTAGCTTTAATAAGTAATTTTAAAATACATTTAAATCTTTTGAAGTATAAAATCAAATATTAAATAAAATTTTACTCAAATAAAAGGCTTAAAGTAATTAAGTTTTTGTTCTTAAAGATCAAGGATAATTCATCAAGATTCATTGCATTTTATTTAAAATTTTAGCTTAAAAATTAATTATTAAGATTCTTTTGATTTTTGACTTCAAATATTTACCTGATATCCAAATCTAAAAAATTAATATTTGTTAATTTTGCTATATCATTACAAATCTTATCAAACTCTCTTTATTAGATGCAAGTATTTCTTTATTTAAATATAATTTTTAAAAAAGGTTTTACTAGAATATTAATTTACCTTAAATTGAGCTCTAAAGTAACTAAATTTTAACATTTAGTGAATGCTTAAGCTATATATAAAGCCCCTTCTTTTATATAATTATAGCTAAAATTATTAAATTAAAATAGTTTGATTTCTAAATGATAAATTTAATAGTTTGTTTGTTTGTTACCTTAGATTAAGACTTAAAAATAAAAAATTTTAAGATTCTTTTAAATATTCTCCTAAAATTTAGGCACCTTTGGATCCAATATTATTGTTACTGATGTTAAAGTAAAAATATGTAAATATAAATAATTTACATTTCATAAATTTAAAATTTATAAAATATACCATAAATTAATCTTCAGTGATGTTAAATTAGTGCATTTTTATAAGGCCTTAGTTATTTCGATAATCTCTTAGTCTCCAATTTTATCTATTTATTAACTCATTTTTTTGAAATTTTTATAAATATTGTAAAATCATTTAGAGAAATAATTACTTGTAATAAAATTGTTGTTCATCTTTAATTTCAGCACTTTAAATTTTTTAATTAAATAAAAGTTATAATTAAAGCACTAAAATAAAAAATAATTTACTAAAAATTTAAATGTAAGTAAGTCATTTTTTAGCATCTTTATAACGCCATTCCAAGAAATTAAGCGCCTTATCCATATATTCTATTTTTTCTTTTTTTAAAATTTAAAAATATTAAGATTTAATTCAAACAAAAATATTTTGAAAGAAAAAAAATAATTTTTTAAAAAGTTTTTGGGTTTTATTTTATTTTAAATACATACATACTAAACTTAAAATATAATAATAAATATACCTGAAATCAAAATCAACTATTTCATAATTTTCTGATTTGTATATATCTGTGATCTTATCAATTTTTATTTCTTTATTATTTTCTATTTTATCCATTTATTCTTCAATTGTATTTGGTTTTTAATCTAATTAAAAAACAATTTATTTGGAAGAATCTTATAACAACTTATTTTCATTCTATTCTTGTACTTCTAAACTTAAGCTTTAATTAGTTTCCTAGATTTTTTTACTTAATATATTTTAAATTTCAAGTAGAGATGTTGGCTATTCTTCAATTAGGTTATTTTATAATATTTATTTGTCATTTTCTTGATTTTTTTGATTAAGCTGGGTTTATGGAAGAGATTCAAACAAAAATGAATTTAAAGTTTATTATTATTATTTATTAATATCTAGATAAGCTAAATTATCATTATCTAAATCTTTTTGATTTTTTTTCAAAAGATTTTCATTATTTTAATCACTTTAAACTATATTTTAAAATTGATAATCCTATTTTTAAATTAGTTAATTTTTACTTTAAATCTATTCAGGTTCTGTTTTAATATTTTATAAATATATTGAATTTAGTTCTAAGTCATCGCTATCATCATTTATCTCAATAAATTCTATTTATTTTTACTGATTCTAAGCACTCAAATTCGTTTATAAACCTTAATCTTATACTAAGCTTTAAATATTTGATTTTACTTTATAATCCTAGACTTATGATATAAAGTTTTCATCATATTATTTATCTATATTTTGTTTCTCTATTTATTTTGCTTGTTTGAATGCTTGATTTTAATCTATTTCTGTTTAGTTAGATTAATAATGAGATTTTACCATTCTTGTGTAATCATTTAATAAATTTTGCTCTTCAATTTTTATTTATTCTTAAAACTGTAATAGTTTTTATTATTAAATTTGAACTTAATTTTCCGCTTGTTCCATTTACTATAATTCTTATTTAATTTCTTCTTTGCATTAAACAATATCCTTTAAATTTAGGAATTTTAGCTATTTTTCATCTACTTTTAATTTATTTAATTGCTATAGTAGGACTATAGGTTAACTAATTTTGTTTGAATCTGGATCTATCATTCTACATAAAATTTTTGTAATAAATTCTTGGCTTTCATGACTTTTAAGTTCAGGAAGGACACTTAGTAAATTTTAACTTTTTAGCTTTAAATACTCCATACCTTAAAGTTTCCTTTAAAGTAAAGCTTCTAAGATAATTACTCCGACAGAATAAATATCATCCTAAATAATAAAAATTTAAATAGTTAGTATTTCAAAAAACTATTTACTGAAGAAGAATATGGTTTTATTTTATCAATAACTTAAGGTGACAGGTAATTCAAATTTCTTTTTTAATACTAAAATAGAATTAGATATAACTATTATTTATTTAATTAAATAAATACTTCTTTTTAAGAACTTTCTACAAATTTATAAAATCTATGATAAGCTAATTTATTAAAAAAGAATCTTTCATAATTTCTTTATGATTGATTAATAATTACTTAGCAAAAATTAATTCTTAGTAGAGCTAAACAGAATATTTGATGGCTAAATATCTTTTATCACAATTCCTTTTTCTTACAATAAAAGCACTCCTTTTAGTAGTTAATATGTTAAAGCGTATATCTAGCTCATTGTAAGTCTATTGTTCTCAAGGATACAAGCTAGATTTTCTATATATAATATTTAAAACACCATCATTATTTTAATAATATCCAACAAATAAAAATACTTTCATAAGCTTAAGTCACAATAGCGACAATCCCATACTACAAATCTAAAATGGATTAATTAAATTAAAGAAAATACTTCTCATCAATGAAATTTTCTAAAATTTATATGCATTTATCAAGCTTTTTATGATTTAATTTATATATTTATTCATTATGTAGTATTTCAATTGCTACATTATTATGATCAATATAGGATTTAGCTAGAAATACAGACGAAAAGCGATTATTTATTATCTCTTTTTCATATTCATAGTTATGAGTTTTTAAAAATTAAAGGATTGTTTCCTTGTGTGTCAATTAGATTTTATTGTAGCAATTTTACAAATTTTAAGCTTTTATATAATCCATTATTTCTGTCTTTTAATTTAAAATCCTTAAATTGCTTGATTGATATTGATTTTTGTAAATATAAAAAACTTAGTATGAAAGTTAAGAACTTTTTTCTTTTAAAAATTAAAATAAAATAAATATGTATTGATTATCTATTAAATTATTCTAATATTTTTATTTTAAATAAAATACAATAGAAAAATATTAAAATCAAAAAATTACAAAAATATAGAAATCTGAATTTTTTATTATACTTAATTTATTATATTATAATCGAAATTTTGTTTTTTAGGCGAATCTAAAACTAAAAAAATTGGGTAGATAGATATCAAGTCACTCATTTAATCTTTACCATTTAATAATTTAATTAATTATTTATTTTATAATAAAAATATTTTCTAATTTAATTTTGAATATTGAACAAGTTCATAAAAATATTTTAGTTTATTGTAAAAAATAGTTTAAATTTTTAATGAATAAATTAAAATCAATTTGAAAAACAAACAAACGAAAAAACACAAATTTTAATAATTAATATATTATTTATAAATTCAATAATATTCTTAATAGCAAAATTAAAATTCCTTTAATAATAAGCAGTTTTGTTTTATTTCTTATTAAAACTTTTACTTATCAATTGAGCTTATATCATTTTGCCTAGTTAAATTTAAATAAATATAAAAATTTATTATTTAAAATAAAATAAATATTATTACTCACAATCAAATTTCAAGGATAACAAATTTTAGCACTTAATAATTTTACTTAAAATAATGTTTAGTCCTATCCTATTGAAATTATTATTGCTATAAAAAAATAATGGTTAATAAAATTAATCGATTTTAAATAAATAGCCATACTATATTTATTTTTAATAAAATTAACTAAAAATTTAAATTTATTTTAATAAATATTATCATATTTTTATTTTTGATTTTTAATGTGAATGAGTTATTTTTTATTGAATTTATATTACCTTAAATTAAGAGCTAATTATTTAATATTTGAATGATTCTCAATAATCATAGATATAGAACTTGAAACTTCATTTGATAACTTATTACCTCTAATATATGTATTACATCAACAATATCATATTAATTAATTAATTAACTAAATAAATAAAACAAATTACATTAGATTTAAATTCAATTGTTATATTTTCTTATTTCCATTTAAGCACTCTCCTAAGAATTAAATAGCATTATCTGATATCATAGAATTGCTTATTTATTTATTAAGATAGTTAAAAAAAAAAATTAGTTTTAACTAAATTAAGAATCATTTTCATTTCAAATAAAATTATCTGCAATTTATGAAATTTACAAAAATTAAAAAAAACTTTTAAAAACAAATTCCTAAAAAATAACACCCAAAATATCACACAAAATTTTAAAAGTGGGTGGGTGTTAATTAATAAGAGCTTACTGTATATTTATATTTAGCTGCATGAGCTTTAATAAAAGAATAAAAAAAACATATTCATAAAAAAATATTAATAATATGTTAAAAGTTCTTTGGGATTTGTGAATTATGTAAATAAAAACCTTAATTAAAGCGAGAGCGAAGTTAGATTTTTACATTTTTATAATGCTTAAGCAATAGACTTTGTTGCTTTTGACCTAATCTAGTTATAACTAAGAAATAAAATTAAAAATTACTAAAAAACATAATTAAAAGTTAGATTTTAACTGATTAAATAGAACTATATGTATAGAAAAATAATTAAATTACCTAACATCTAAGATTAATTATGTTAAATTTTAAAGTTTCATTATCATTTATCCTATAATATTCATTTCTTTCATACCAATACAATTTGATCTTTAATAAAAAGAATGTATTTATAAACTTAATTTTAAAGAAATGAAATAACCTTAAATTCATATCTAATGAGTTAATATTGATACATTAAGATAATTGCTATCCAAATCTTTCTAAATTAATTTTGCCTAGTTTAAGGTCGCTTATGATAAAAATAAAACAATTAAAGAGTAATTTATTTTTAGCATGAAAAAAATTTATTTATTTATTTTACCTTAAATCAAGCTTAAGAGAATTTAATTGTTTACATTCTGATATGCTTTATCCAAATAGTTCTAAATTTGTATTACTTATTTAGTAATAACTTTAAATTTAAAAGTATTTGAAATCAGATTTTCATACATTAAATGATTGATTAATTACCTTATTTTTAAATTTAAAAAATTCAATTTTTCACATTTTTAAAAGCTCCAATCAATTGTATCATCAAAATTATTTTGAAAATTGAACGCCCTAATTTATTTTTAAAATATATTGCATTCTTCAAATTTCTTGATTAAAATGTGAAAAATAAATTAATTTTAATTTTTTTACGATATTTCTAAGCTTAGATTGGTTAAATTTTTAAATCTATAAAAACACATTTCATGTTTATGACCATCTTAAATGAAATTGTTTCTATTAATTAAATAATTTTTTTTCAATATTTTTTATTAATTTTTAATTTACACTAAAATCAAATGCAAGGAATTAATATTTTCATTCATTTCAAAGCTTCTTAGTATTAAGTTAGTTTATTTTTGGCTAATTTTGCAATTACTTTTTAAGATTTTAATTTATTTGTTCATTAAAGATAAATATAAAAAAATTACAATAAGTTTAGCTTTAAATTTGTTAAATTTTTATATTTATAAAACTCAATTTCCTATTGAAGATCCATAATCTCTAAATCATTTTAACTAAGTAAAAAAGAATAAATAAATAAATAAAAATTTTATCTTTTTTATTAATTTCTAAAATATTTTACCCTAAATTCAAGTCTAAACACTTTAAGCTTTCCAAAGATTGTATGCTATATAAAAATAATTTTAAATCTGTTTTTCTTTCTTCAAAATCACTTTTTATAAGTAAATTAAATTTTAAATTTTATTCCTTCCTTAAAAACTATAAATTTATTTATTTATTAGAATAACTCTTTACCTAAAATTGAGATTTAAAGAAATTAAATTTTGACAATTCTACAAATACTCTGCAAATAAACTAAATCCATATTTTACTATGCTGTCACTTTAATAAATTACAAATAAAATAATTTAAAGGCTATTAATTAAAATATTTGCTACCTTATATCAAAACTTAAAAAATTCAAATTTTTACATCTAGTAAAAATTTCACAAAAATCGCAAAATTCTTATGATTTAAACTAATAATTACTGTTAAAAAAATAGATTACTTTTAGAATAATTTATTTATAAAAATAATTAATACCTTAAACTCAAATCTATATAGACCAAGTTTATACATTAAAATAACCCTTAAATAATATTAGAGACAACATTTTCAGTTTGTGGATAAGAATAGGTTAAAGTTAATTTTAAATTTAAGAAGAGAAGATTTCTACACAAGCCAAACCATTTACCTAATTATCTTTCTCCTTCTATATCTAAACTAATAGAATAATTATAAAAACTTAATTTTTTCAAAATAACATATATAATTTATATATAAGAAATCATTTGTTTCATTTTTAAGCTTGGAAATAAGTTATTTGTGAAAAAGTAGTAAGTATTTAATTAAGATTTTACTTCAACTTTTAAAATTTTATGATTTTCAAAAAAACATATTTAATTTTGTTGTCTATTTAAAGCAATATATTTTTGAAAAATTAGATATATTAAATTGGCTTACCTTACATTAAGGCTTAAAGATGACAAATTATCACACTTATCAAATTTTTAAATAAGCTACTAAAAGCATTTCTACTTGCTAATTCTGAACATATTAAAAAAATAATAGTAAAAAACAAAGAAATCTATTTGAATTAACAAAAAAATGCAGTTTCAATTAAATTAAATTTTTTAAAAATATTACCCAGAATTGAAGTAATAATCACTAGATAAGTTTCAGGTATAATATATTTTTTATATTAAAAAAAGTTATTATGACATTTAAAAATGCTTATGTTAATAATTAATACATATTATTAAAATCCAAGCTTATTTATTCTATGCTTATGCATTTTTATAGGACTTTTCCTATTTTTATTATTTCATCTTCTGAAGGCATATTATTTCTAATAAGTTTTTATTTATTATTATTACTATTATTATTTTTGTTAATATAATTTACTTGAATTTAATATCGATAATTTCATAGTTTTGATCTTATTAAGGAATTTTTATGGTGTCAACGATTTTTAATACCCTTTAGCTATTTTTATTATAACTTTTAGCATGAAATGAATTATATTTTAAATATTGTATAAGTTTATTCAAACTATTTTAAACTTCTTTATCCTCTAAAATAATTTAATAATTTTATGCAATATTACTATTTTATATTTATATCCATAATAAAATTTCAGACATAATTTCCTATTCAAGTTTATCTTTTTGAATTTTATTTTTTTTAATTTGAGTTGAATCGAATTATATATTTATTATTTGCTTTTCTTAATGAAGATTGGTTTAATTTTCTAGATTAATTTCTTATTGATCTTCTTTTTCAATTTCCATTAAAGATTACTTATATTCTTCAAAATTGCTTTTATCTTTTTAGATTTAATCGGAATGATCAATATTTTGAGATAGTATTATCTATTTATTCATAATATTCTATCCAATGTCTTTTTAATTTTATTTTTCAAGCTAAATGTTTTCATTTGCATTAATATTAGGAGAAATCTAAATAATTTCTTTTAAAGACTTGATTTTCTGATCTTCAGCATTTTTCATATTTATTTTTTAATCTTAAATTTCACAAAAATCTTTTTCAATATTCTCCTTTCCAATTTAATTTTCATCTTCATTAATTATAACTTATTGTTATTATTCATTTTAAATTTATATTCTTTTCTATTCTTTTTATTAAATACTATTTGATATATTTTCAGTGTTTTCTTCTTTAATAATCTAACTTAAATTTTCTTTTTCTTTAATATTTTTAGAACTTTATATGATTTCATTTACTGGTTATATTTTCTGGTCCTCACCATTTATCATATTTTTTATTTAATTTGAAGTTTCATTGTATTCCACTTTCATATTATGTTATCCAATTTAAGTTTCAATAAAATTTTCCTCTTCATCAATTTCAAAATATTTTTAAACTTTTTCAATTTATCCTTTTTATTCATTTTTCTATTTTTCATTTAATATATTTTCTGTGTTTTCTTCTTTAACAATCTATCTCAAATTTTCATTTTAATTAACATTTTAAGAACTTTTAGTTATTTCTATAGTCGGTTTTATTTACTAGACTTCAAAATTTTACATATTTGTCTTTTAGTTTTAAATTTCATCAAACTCTACTTTAACATTTTACTATCCAATTTAATTTTCAATAATATCTTCTTCATCTTCGTCAATTTAAATACAGACTATTTTTTCTTTTTCAGTTGCCATTTTAATTTATTCTCTTTATATTGACTATGTAGATATACTTTAGATGTTTTCCTGTTAGTTAGTAGCTTAAAGCTAAACATCTCTATTTTCTATATTTTTGTCTAATTTAATAAGCTTAAGGTGTTTTTAATCTACCTTCAATTTATTTAGAAGCTATAATATATTAATTGGCTGACTTCTTTTACAATAATCTGGATCTACCATTTTACTTAAAATATTAGTTACAAATTAACGATTTTATTCATTTAAAAGATCAGGTAAAACGCTCATCAAACTTTAACTTTTTAGCTTTAAATACTCCATACCTTTTAGTTTTCTTTGAAGTAAAGCTTCAAGAAGAATCACACCTATTGAAAAGATATCAGCCTAAAAATAAAAGTTAAAACATATTTTAATAGTAATAAGATATTTACTGTAATTGTGTATGGTTTTTTCTTATCAATGACTTCAGGTGATTAATAGTTCAAATTTCCTTATTATTGCTTTAATTAAATTAAAATTAATCATTTTTTTTTTGAAATTACTTCATTGTTTTCAGAGTGAATTAACCTGGTAAAACTTAAGTAAGCTAATTTTATCAAAAAAGTATTATTAATAATAGCCTGAACATATATATATTTTTACATAACAAAAATTAGTTATTCGATGCACTGTAAAATATTTTTTCAGGCTCAATATATCTCAATGATTTCCCTTTCTCCTACATTAAAAGCAAGCCTTTTAAAAGTTAATACGCCAAAGCATAAACTTACTCTATTTTTAGCTTATTTATCTCTAGAATTTAAGCTAAATTTGCTATATTTTTAGAAATTAAACAATTAATCATTTAAATTAAAAAAAATACTTTCGCAGTATTCTGTGACTATCGCTGTAATACCATAAGTTAAATCTTGAATTATTTCAATAAACTAAAGCACATATTTCTCTCCTTTTAGACTATCTAAAAATTCTACTTATTTTTTCAGTTTTTAAATATTTATTTTAGAATTGTATTCGTAATTTAGTATTTTAATTGCCACTTTAGAATTATTATTCTTGAGAGATTTAGCTTACACTACTAAAGAAGAACTACTTCTTGAAATTTCTTTCTCATAAACATAGCCAAATGTTTTTAAAAAATCATGGATTGATTGTTTGTATAGTATTTAAAATTATTGTTTGCAGTTAAGCAGCTCTTATCTCTAAACCAAATACATATTCATTAGTACTTATTTATTTCTACTTTCTTTCTTTTTAAATATCCAATATAAACTATTGTATTTAATTATATTTAATTAATAAATGAAGATAGAAAAGTTGTTTATTACTAATTAGATACCAAATATTCTATTAGAAAAATAATAATAGATAGATACTAAATAAAAATAAATAAATTTTGAACATTTGAAAATATTAATTTCTTAAATTATTATTAAAATTAAAACATATTTATGATATTAGAATCTTTAAGTAAGTTAGTATGATCAGACTTATT